TGGACGGCCTATAGAGCAATACCGTCAGAGTCAAGCGTTGGGTGTGGCATGCTACACCTGGGGGTCGTATTAAGTAGTCAGGGAGAGAAGGCAGGGGGGAGGGGGGTTCGTCATCAAGATGACTTTAATGTTAGCGATAACATGATATTCGCTAACAATGTCAGACAGGCCCATGCAAAATACTAGCACTTTGTTTTGGCCCATCACCGTATACGTCAGCAAGCAAAATAAAAGAACTATAAAAACTATGGGCAACACTTTTGTAACTAGCATCTCAAGTAAACATTGTAGGCTAAGTTTCAACGAATTCTGAGTTTTCAAATATTAAGCCACTTAAGTGAGATGGCCGTTTTCGATCATGTTAGCTTTGTTTCAAAAATGAATCAACCCTTCTTTTTGCACTCATTACAAAAAACTACTACTTCCTTGTCATTTTAAGAGTTCTACTTCAAATGACCTCCAAACTAAAGAATTGAGGGCAAACCAAAATCTCGTTTTCCATGTGTTCTCGTCTTGAAACCTGGGCATCTTCGACTGTCAGTTTAGTGTTTATATTTCTTATGCCGCACAGGTTGGTACTCCGACGAAGACGAGTTGTTCGAAACGTTAGGTCGATAAAGATCCACCATACCAACCTGTGCGGCATAAGAAATATAAACACTAAAAATCTCGTTTGTTTCACTTTTCGCTTTCAGTATCTCAGACTAGACAAGACCAATCAGGCTCCAATCACTTTGTTGTAAATTACGAGACTTGAGCTATCAAATGTATACATTCTTGTCGCCTTTTCTCCCAATTCACGTAGTAGCGCAAACTTAGCATGTTAGCGCAACCGAATATTTTCGCAGTATTTTTCATTTGCATAGATAAGAAAAAACGGTTACATCTTTCCTCAAAAGAAATGAAACTAGAAATGAAAGAAAGAAATCAAATGAAATTTTTACTGTATAAAGAAGAAGGTTAAGCAGTAGTAAGGATATTAAAAAACACAGGTTTATGAATGTTCTCAAGGTAAGTTAATGGGATGTGGCAGAAACCCTGAAAAGTGTGGCCGCCACAGCTTTTCTGGGTTGCGCCACACGCCATTAACTTACCTTCAAAGATAATTTGAAAGTTTTTAAAAGTTTGACAGTCAACCCTCGTGATTTTTGTGGAAGTGATTAAAGCTGAATTTGACTTCTTTCGTTTCAGCGATAGTTGCTACAAGCACAACCACTGAGAGCAAAAAATGGGACGAAGGACATTTTGGCTGGCTCTTACTTCCATAGTTTGATGGATTTTTGAAGCAGGGTTCATGATATAGGCGAACATAGAGTAGTGCATTGCTGCTGTCCTAGGTACAGGAAGGTGAAGCTAATACACTTTTGAAACATAGTTGACCGTTTTTGAAAATGGCCATTTCACTCGAGTGGCTAAATATTGGGGGACCCTCAGAATCGCTAAAACATGGCCCACGGGTTATTTGACATGGTAACTAATTATGCTTGACAAAACCTTTATGTCATGCCTACGGTAGGCAAACGAAAATGTTGAGGGGCGGGGGGGGGGGGGGGGTATCGAGACCGAAACTGGGGGGGGGGGGCTCGTTTTCGGCGATTGTGTGCCACACCTCTTGCTCGACCCCTGACTATTGTATGGAATGAATGATTTTGTGAATGCGATATCTTGTCGCACCGCATGGACTAAGCCCATTTTATTCGCGTTTAATTCGCCAAAAGCCCATTTTCAAATGGACTTTCGTGCATATCATTCCCTGATGATTGGCACTTAAAAACGAATCTTCATCCAGTTCCGCAAACTCAACAGAATTAAGGTTCGCTGATGCTTTCAAGCGTTCGCTGAAAACACCATTGTAGCCTTATTGATATCTATTAAACTCCTTGATTACTTTTGACACAAAACGAAAAGATTCAAATTCGTTCCTTTGTTTTGAGTTAGAAAGGTTGGTTGGTGATTATTAATAAATTTTTACATATCATGTACACATATTCTCCAGGCTAAGGAACAGGAAATATACAGTACAGAGATACTTTTGTAGCCGCTATTTACTTCTTATAAGTTCGACTTCAGCTCATATTGACGCACAAGATTTCAGCTAGACATTGATGTCTTTGCCTGACTTATGAGGGATTTCTGTTGGTTTGTAAATCACAGTTGTAACCCAAAGGGTTTTTATTTCTTTCTTTAATTAATTATTCAGTACCTGGACAACGTCATTCAATCCCAGAGTAAAATTGCTAGGTTATATTAGAGGCCGCATGTGCCGCGGATTCGCGATTTCTTTGGGGGGGGGGGGGGGGGGAGGGAGGGGCGTCCCCCCGCGCTGAGGGCGTCCTAAAGCGCCGTCCTCGCGCTGTTCCGGCTCTCACCTCTCTACTTGCGCAGCTTTCAAATATGTCACGCAGTCTTCACTGCTGTCGCCATCGTGAGCGGTCGGATTCTATTTTGTCTCAACGCCATCGATCGATACAGCGCCTCTCCCAACTCACACCTACATCTACGCCATGAAGGACTGGCTTCCGCGCAGACGAGGTAACCCCGAGCGCGCTCGCGCCTGACGCACGTCATCGCCTCGGGGGGTAAGGCATTCCGGCCCCTAGGTTTAACATCTGGCTGGTTGTGCTCCACCCTTGCGTTTAAGTATAGGGAATTTGTGCGGTTAAATGGTGGGCATTTGACATGTGTGTCTTGTATTGATGCGGTGGGTCGCAGCTCGGCTGTGGCTCCGGAAGTATCTTATGCTATATGTTATGTGTTTATAATACAACTCTCTCCAGAGTGTTCTATCAGTGTGAGGGCACGATTAGAATATTGCCTGGATTGTAAGCGCCCCACTGTCGATGGTTGTGAGCAGGCGTCACAGGTGTCGAGTCATTTGCTAAGATGGCTAGTGGCAAGGGCCCTGTGTGCATGACGTGGTATTGTGGCAGGCGCATTTAGGATTTCCACGGTAAGGCCATCACACCTTGCGTTACACCTTCTCTCAGAGTAGACCCCTGATTCCTACCACCGATGCAAAAGAGCCCCAACAACACTGACGTTTGAAGTGGGGCCCAACCCGCGACAGCATGCATTATCTTCGCCGAAAAGGGAATCGCAGCTTAGAAGAAAGCTTTGAGTCCTGAAGCTCCAGATATATGGGTTTCACGCTTTGTACTGGTTATCTAACCAAATAGTGCTAAGCATGCTGCTGATAAGAACAAATGAGTTAACGATGTAACGAAAATCTCGATAAACCATAATTTCCGACTTGTGGTTTATTGCAAATTTCTTGACTTCAGTACATTATTTGTTTATCAGAAACATCCTTGTCGCGTTTGGTTAGATAAACAGTAAAATTTTGACACCATTTCATTGACTTTAAAGAAAGAAAGATAACTTCGAAGAAAAAACTTTGAAGAAAAAACGGTTGACTGGCGGTGATCGTCAGGAGATCATACATAAAGCTGGAACATGCGGCTTGTACAATTTCTCGCTCCTAATCAATATGTTTATGATAAAGAATAGTAAAAATACTTAAGGATAGGTAGTCAGCGTGAAATACAGATGTAGCTTCGAGATATGAAGCTTTCTTTTAGGCTGCGAACCTTTCCCCAGCGGGGATGTTTGTGCATGCGGCTCTAAGGGCAGTATGCATGAACATCTCTTCGGCAAAAGGAGCGGCGTCCCAATTATGGAAAGACTGCGGGCGAATGCCAGCGGAAGTTTTTCAACGCTGGGGACGCCTCCCCTCATCGCAGGTGCCCATGCATATGACCACACAATCCGTCTGCACGTACACCACCGCTGGGGAAGGGAGTGCAGCCGAAAGGGAACGCGTCATATTTTTCTACCTACCTTGCGAAGTTTTCATACCCTTATACTTGAGCATAATAGATGGCAGGATACTTTGATCTTCTTGGGGATCTTCCGAGGATACCCTATGTTCTGAAGTCGTCTACCTCCCCATAAACTCATGGATATGTTGTGAGGTTGTACTGGTCTATTATAGCACTGCTATTCATGGTTATAGTATGGTAAAACTCCAGTTTATCAAGGCTTTCATAAACCACCGTTTACAAGCTGGGATTTGTCGAAAAACTCAAAAAAAAAACTTTTACATCTTATTTGGCCTGTCGGAAACGTGCCTAGCCGTGCCATGATATATCCTTTGTACAACTACAACATTTCAATGCATTCTTGGGAAGATTGATGACTTTGGAAACAAGGGTCGATTTCTTGGTGATCCCCAGAGGATCAGACAAAACATTGAAATTCTTAATTTCCATGGCGATCTCCTAGCCACTATTATAGTCAACCAAGTATTAGGGTAGGGAGCTTCTAAGAGATAGATAAACAAAGAAGGAGACAAATATAGAAGAAAATATGACGTCCTTCCTCAGCTCCCCTCCCCTCCCTAGCGGGGAAGTACGTACATACGAGCTTCTTACCTACTACTCTCATCACATGCCAAAATCAAAGGAAAAAAGTTGAAAATCTTTTAAACTACTACTTGAATTCTACAGAATTTTCGAAACAATGAGTGAGGTTGCCACTTACCAGGTTGGAAATATATGATATGTCGCCGGGACCATCAAGTGCCGAAATCTGAAAGGCAACAATTTGAGTTACAGTTTTTTCAACCCGGATTAGGCGAAACATTTCAAGTCTGGCAGCGCGTCCGCACCGCCACTGGCTGAGCGTGATAAATTAGAACGAAGAGACGCAGACTGCAAAACGGCTCGAATCGTGGCGAAGCGGACTCCCGCAGTCCAATTTTCCGCCTAAACTGAGTTGAAACTTACTTACATCACGCGCAAATAAACCTCAATAAATTCACCTCTTCATTTTCAACCATTACATCCTTCATCCTCAAACCAGCGACGACTGACAATGCGATGATGCTAACTAATGCGAATGTAATGCAAAAATTCCTTAATTTTACATTCATTCGTAAAGGATGGCTGAAAAGTAAAAGTTATCACATAGTATTGGAATCCTGTTCACCACTCAGCTTACCGTACAGCCAACCACCGCTCCGCTGTAAAGGCACAGATAGTAAATATTGAAGTAAAACCATATGTCTCTTTTATGAAGTAGTATAACTTGCACACAAATTTGTTACTGGAGTGGCAGCTGATAAAGTAATACGTTTGCACTGGGCAAGCTGCAATATTTTCGAATCATGAGAGACGAAAGTTTTTCTATGCCAACAAAAATTTACCTAGAAAAAGGAGGAGCATATCCGAACAAGCAAGACCCAGCAAGCAGTAGTTGGCATGTGTGTGCAGGGATTTTGTTCTAATAATCACGAGACAAGCGCAGATGTTGCCAATTGAGCCTATTACAATGATTATAGCAAGAATAGCTACCGAGGGGATTAGTACAGCGTTCTGAAAAAAAACTTTGAGCAAGATTCAAATGCTTGAAATGACAGATGTGAAATTGTAAAAGTGTTCACAAGAATTTTAGAACTCAGAAACGTCAATTGCTATACTATGCCGTATACAGGTTGTTATGATGATATACATTGTTAACCGACGTTTCGGCAAGACGCCGTCTTCAGGGGCTGAAAAGGCGTCAACACATTGATACACACGATCTCTGCCGCCAAATATCTCCGCCGACTTGCCACTCGATTCGTCTTGAGTGAGGCAGAGAGTTTGGGGGCGAAGATTCACTATAGATAGATTCACCCACCAGATATATCAACGATGTTGTAGCTAACAGCCGCTCCGGATGTTCTTGGTCGAGTGTGGTGTTAAATGAGTACCCAAGCTACTGTGGGGCTGCTTAAGTAGGGCACACAATCTTATACTTTACAGTACGACAGATACGGCATCAAGTCACTTGTGATAGATAATTTCTCATTTTTGCTATTTAGTTTGGGCTCGCGAGCAAGAATGTAGGAGCATTCCAAGGCTTTTCGTGCGGAAATTTGGTGTTCGTAGGCCAAAATTTTGCACCTGATATCGTAATCAACACCGCTATGTTCGATCATTCTATGCTTTTCCAGTGGACTAATCATGCCTTGCCTCTTTTTGCTAGCTAGATGTTCGCTGATACGCACACCCAGTGGCCGGCCGGTTTCACCAATATATATGGCAGAGCGCTTCGCACATTCAATTTGATATACAACACCAGATTTCGCACAATCTCCGAATTGCCCGTATGGGCACACAACGCAGTCTTTTGTATATTATATATTATATATTATATCATATTACATATTATATATTATATATTATACTAGAATAAAACTTCCCACTGAAAGGTTGAGTCATGTTCCATTAAAAGCGCCATTGTATACCGATGGATGATTCAATAACCAAACAGGGCATCGCTTAGTTGAGCGCATATTTGGTATCTTTTTCATGTATATGACTCTAAGAAATACTCTTCAACAGTTTCATCTCCTCAGTGGTGTTGGTGGTGATTCGTTCAAAAGGACTTGCTGTTTTGTTCAAAGTGTTATTCTTTGAGACGGCAGTCTTGAATGAGTAATATCGCGCATAAGCATCAGATGCCAATCACAACCATCAATCGTTCTTTTTTTTTTATTGAAGGATTCGAGTCATTTGATCAACCCAACGTTTTTTTTTTCGATTTCTTTTTTTTGCGCCCTTCGGCACGTTGGTTTCGCGCAAATATTGCGCAGTGTTTTCCGCAAAGATTAAAACTTCATCGCCTACTTTTTGCTTTGCGGAGGGAGATCTAACAATAAGTCCTGCTCCGCACACGTGATACGATTTATAACGAAATTCTAATAAACTTTGCCCCGCCTTCAATCAGCATAACGTTTTCCTCACAATTGTTATTTGCTTGCATTCGAAGAATAGCCTGCTTCTTGTCACCAAGAAGACTTCGATAAATTCTTGCCCTAACAGCGCGCTTGGCTGACGCTCCAACGAGGAAGATTCCGCTAGAGCAAAACGTAGAGCATGACCACCAGAATGTATATTGTGGCTTTCACGTCACCTAGCTTTTGATGTATCTTATCATCACATTCCATCTACACACGCCTCTAATTGAGAAGCTCTTGCAAGAGTCAGGCGCTCATGGCTCGAGCTGTTTATTCCTCTGAGTGCATCCTCTGGTTCATATCCGCTTCTGCAGGTGGAATTTAGCTCACAGAAGTCCGCCTAGTCGAAGTGGCAATTGAAGGTGATCTGTACCAGCGGATAGAACTTAAAATGCTGATCTTAGATATACTTTCAAGAGAAATGCGAAGCGTTCTCAAAAAGAGTTAGAAGCTCTTCTTATGTCAATTTTCCGCATTTCAAATCGCAAAGTCATGGTAATTGTACCAGCGGATAGAACTTAAAATGCTGATCTTACAAGGGAAGGATACTTGGTCGAAGTGGCGTTTCCAAATGAAATGCATACTATTTTATAGAGCATGCAACGCTGATTCCGAATCTGTCTTCGTTATCTGCCGAGCGCCTCTGGACGCCGAGTTATGAGCGTTCCTTTGGTTGAAAAATTTAATGCGTAATTAGAGCAAAATTCGTCAGAACTGCTCAAATGGTCCGAAGTTGGTTATCAGAGCACTCCATTACAAAGGATACCTTCTGTCCAAAACACTCATACTACATGTTGCTCTATTTAGGCGCTGAAAAGTCTGAATAGTTAATTTTACTTGAATTCTGAGTTCATTTTTCGCTCCAAAAAAATTTTATAACTCGACGTCCAGAAGCGCTCGGCAGATAATGAAGGCAGATTCGGAATCAGCGTTCAACGCTCTTCAAAATGGTATATGACCCATTTGGAAAGGCCACTTCGACTGATTCGACCTCCCTTGTTAGATATACTTTCAAGAGAAATGCGAAGCGTTCTCAAAAAGAGTTAGAAGCTCTTCTTATGTCAATTTTCCGCATTTCAAATCGCAAGTCATGGTAATTCCCTAGAAGTATGTAAGCTCTATGCTTGGTGTAGATCATCTTCCAAAAACAAAAGAATTTCCCTTATCAGATAAATGAAATTCAAGACATAGCCAACTTCGCTTTGGCTGTTAGTCTCTGATTCATTTTCTAAGTTGGACTAAGTCTTGCATCACAAAAACCCCAAATGTCTGCCAGTCGCTGAACGTCATGAATTTGGCTTGGTGGACCTGGAGAGAGAAAATTGAGGCTTCCAAGTCGCTTACTTGCATATTATTAGATGCGTCTTGTTGAGCTGAATTCAAATATAATTTCCATATCTGCTGGCTGTTCTCCAGAAGAAGTTAGAGCTTTTGTGTATGTATGGCACCTATGGTAAACCAGTGCACACCTTCAAGAACTGGTTGTCAAAAACACTTGTATATGTTTCCGGTGAATGTGTGCATTCTTTGTAGTCAGTAAACTCACTATCATGCTCATATTGCTTCCAAGTTGGATTTTGAAGCACTTTGCTTTACATTCCTAATAGCTTCGCAGTTTTAACTGCTTATAACTTCTTAAAGAATGGCTCAGCTGGCAAAGAAGGTAGATTTGAAACCGGCATTTCAAGGGGCATATAAAACACATTTTCAGTTCCCCACTGCAACTTGACATGCTCCCCTTGCTAAAGCAAAGAATCATGTTCGTGACCCGCGATACTAGCTTATAGTGAGAAACATTTAATCGTATTCGTCAGATTTTGTTTGTCAAAAAATGCAAGAAAGCTCAAAAATATCTATTTTTGGTTTTCAAGCCGTTTTAGAAAGTTGTGCTGATCAAGTGTTCCGACGATCGGCTAGGATTCTCTATTTTTTGTAGTTTTTTTAACTGTTTTCTGAGTTTGTGTCAAACGAAATTCAACATGTAATAACATATAACATCTACTATTTATTACATATTCTATGAAATGGAGCCGTTATTAAACATTCCAGAGTGAATCTTCTACATCTGTTGATGCAAATCTTCTATATTTGTTGATCCAAGACCTCGCGATCAACTTGGTACATTGATGGCTCATTTCTGAGGATGAATTTGCAGACACAATCATCTTTTTCTAGAGCGCCTAGTACTTGACAAGTCTTTTATCCGTCTGTCAAAGATACGCCTATATTTTCGAATATCTACAGAATAATCATATTGCCCACAGAATCCCTCTTTAAATAATTCCACTTCACAAAACTATGACCATAAACATTTTCTCCGAACCCTCCTTTCCAGAGCATGATGTATCGCATACTGTGTAGCGTTTCATCGTAGTTTTCTCGTCCTTTTACTTTAGCTTTTGATATTTAGACGTGAACAACCAACAACCAAAAATGTCGACGAAAGCGGTGCCTAAAGGTGGTAAGTATTTTTGTTATTTCGTATCATACTTCCAAACTAAGGCTTTTCTCTCATCGTGATTCTCATGTCGTTTCTTTTCTTGGCACGATCATAAAAGAAAGCTTAGAAAAATTCGATTATAGCTAGTATGCGGTTCATCTACAAAACTTTAATAGACATTGCAGTATAGGAGTGGGAAAACAAAATGTTCGCGTGATTTTTAGAAGAAGTACATGAAAGATAAATTTGCAGATTACTCATCCCAGCTCATAAAGTTGAAATGATTCACGAAATTTGTGAATTTGCTTAATGCAAGAAGTTCGTGGGAACGGCTCCCAAATCTTTGAGGAGCCTAGGTTTTGTTCGATTAGACAAACAACACTCTTTAAGCTTTTGAGCTGTGAAGATTTGGATGTTTCAAGTATCTTATATATAAAGCTGAATGTCTGTTTGTCTGCCTGTCTGTATGTCTGTATGTCTGTATGTCTGTATGTGTGTACGTATGTTCCGAATAGAAAATTCCATTTCTGAACCGATCCGGACCAAAATTGGCACACATACACTTTGGGCCCCGGCGGGTGTCATAGGCTACTTTTCGTCATCGATCGATATCGATTTTATCGATTTTTATCGATTTTTTTGCAGAGTTCACCTACGGGGCTGGGAGTTGGCACAGGGGGGTGGAGGACATTAGGTCGCCGAATTTGGAAGAGTCCCGCGCGGATTCCCTGCAGGAACGCATGTCCGCGCATGTACAAGGGTGCGTGTTTGTCGCAAATGACCGCGGGGACCGCCCTTTTTCGGCGACCTAATGTCCCCCACCCGGCACAGGGGGGTAATCGAGCATGGGGATTCCGAGTACAATATTGGTTCTAAAGATTATCGATTACTTTTATCGATTTTATCGATTTTTTTGCAAAGTTTGAGCTACGGGGCTGGGAGTTCGCACAGGGGGGTAATCGAGCATGGGGATTCCGAATACAATATTGGTTTTCGGGATTATCGATTACTTTTATCGATTTTATCGATTTTTTTGCAAAGTTTGAGCTAGGGGGCTGGGAGTTGGCACAGGGGGGTAATCGAGCATGGGGATTCCGAATACAATATTGGTTTTCGGGATTATTGATTACTTTTATCGATTTTATCGATTT